AAATTGGTTATTCTCGGTTGGATATTCTATTTTGAATGTCAAGCAAATCCAAACAAATCAATCAACTGCAATAGAAGTAAAATGTCGAGAAAAAGAAATTGTAATGAAGGGCGTGAAGATTTGACTTCGAATGAAGACTCAGAAAATCACAATGAACCTCAAAATGACTGCGAAATTTTACCTTCGTAAATATTTTGTTTCATGAAAATTATTTTTTACTTATAACAATTTTTTTTATTTTTAATTTTGTAATAATTGTCTTATAAATTATATTTAAATTGTAATAATTTATATTGTAATGTATTTTTATATTATTAAAATAAATTTATATATGATTTAATATATCATATAAAAAGGCAAAAATATTTCATAGGTCAAGTACTGTACCACAGAAGGTTACAGAAAAGCAAGTAACCTCCAAACGAAGAAAACTTCATGCACCGCCTCTATCCAAGTATTTTGAAATATTTTTCGAAAACGAATTAAAACAAGCACGATGTAAAGTGTGTGAATCAAATGAGCCGTCGATAAATAAAGTTTTGAAAATGACTGATGGGAACACTTCAGGACTTCAACGCCATCTTCAGAGATACCATGAAAAAGAATTTAAAGATATATATTTTGCTCCAAAATCAAACGTAAAAATTTTATGAAAGTATTTTATAATTTAGGGAGAAAATGCGACAAAGCGAAATTTTGATATAAAAAATACTGATGTTTAAAAACAAACACGAGTAAATAGTTTAATAACAATTTTGATACTGCAAAATTATTGCAATACAAATTTTTATTAAAAAAAAAAATTTTGTTCGTTTAAACATTTGGAACCTTATGATTCTAAAATTTTTATTTGAATTACTGAATAAAAATTATCTTGTTTAAAGAAAAATTTATCTGGTTCAAGAAAATATTTATTTGATTCAAGTATGTCATTTTTGTTTGATTCAAATAAATAATTCTTTGATTATTATAGACCACTAATCGGTTAATCTGTTGAATTAATTTTTTTCAGTGTCATTTTTAAAGAAAATTAATTGCTCACTGAATTCTAAAAATTAAATATAGTAATAAAAATATCAACGTTCACTTGAACATTTGTAATTTTGTAGATATTTACAAAAATTTTATTTGTTTTTGAATTATTTCAAATTTAATAATAAATTTTTGAATTTCAAATATTAATTTTCATTTAATTAATTCTAATTTTCTTTTAATTAATTCAATTCAAAATAAACTTAAAATCTAAGTGTTTAGAATTTAAAAATAAAACTCCAAAGAAGATGAGTTTTCGAAAACAAAAAACGTAATTAAATATTTAAAATTATGCTGATTAAAAATTAATTTTCTGAAAAACCGAGGAATAAAAATCAGAATCTGGATAAAGCATTTAATTTAACTTAACAATTTTTTCTATAATTTTCAATAAAAAACCATTCATTTTTTCTTTAAGATAATTTTGTTTAAAAATAACGTAACGAATTTAATATTGTTTAATATTTACCATCTTTAAATTTGTATACCCTTTTATAAAGTTTAATTATAATATTAATCAAAAATATAAGTTAAAAAAAAGTAAAAGTTTTGATTAATTTTGTTTCAGAAATTAAAAAAAAAAATAAAATAAAAGTTAAAAGAAAGTAAAAGTATTGATTAATTTTGTTTCAGAAATTTGACCAGGACACATTCCTTGAAAAATTAGTAAATTTTGTAGTCACAAAATATTTACCCTTTGCTTTCTTTGACGACGAGGTTTCTCAAGATTTCTTTCAATATATAAATCCAATAGTCCATGTTCCGCAACGAAACCAATTGAAAAGTTTGATTGAAAATAAATTTTACGAGAAACAAGAAATTGTTATGAAAATTTTACAACAAAATACGTCGAAAATATCGTTTACAATAGATGGTTGGACATCTTTGGCCAACAGAAGCTATTTTGGAATCACTGCTCATTTTGTTGACGATAATTGGGTCCTTCAATCTCTCGTGATAGATTTTTGCCCTTCACACGGCCAACATAAGGGTAAAGATATAGCTGCTTGTTTTTTTAAAATGCTCGAAGAAAATAAAATTATTGAAAAAGTTATGGGAATAACGATGGACAACGCTGCTGCCAACACGACATGCATGAGTGAATTAAGCAAACTAATAAATGATTTCGATTCTGAAAGTCATCATTTCCGGTGCCTAGCGCATATTTTAAATCTTTCCGTCCAGGATATGTTGAATGTTTTTAATATCGATGATAAAGAATCACAGAATGAAGAAAGCGAGCAAAGTGAAGAAGAAAGTGAATCAACTGAAAGAGGAGACATGGAAGAAGACGAAGAATCAGAATCGACGACATACACATATCCTGTAAAAAAATTGAGAAGCTTGTTCAAAATTTTAAAAACTCCGAACAATGGCAAAACAAATTAAAAACCTGCTGCCAAACCTGCAATATCCAAATGCTGTCTCCAAACATCGACGTCAAAACAAGATGGAACTCTACGTACGATATGATTATGCTAGCAATTACAATGCAGCCGGCAATAAATTTACTATGTGAACATAATCAGAAAGTGAAAAAATTAAAGATTACAGAATATGAATGGAATATTTTTAAAGAACTCACGAAATATTTGCGTCATTTTTAAGTCTTGACAGATTTATTCAGTGGTGAGAAATACCCTACCTTAAACTTAGTGGTCATTGGAGTGAATTTACTACTGGATAGATTAGAAACTTCCATTGAGAAGCTTTCTAATAATTTGGAAAAATTGAGCTCAATAGAAGAGATAGTTTTAGACGCACTTTAAGCAGCATACTCCAAAATAATGAAGCACTACAAGAAAACGAACTGGACCTACTGTACTGTGCTGATTTTAGACCCTAGGTTTAAAGTCGAAACTTTCGATAAAACGATTTGGGGTAAAGAAATGAAGGCCATGTCAGTTCAAAAAATTGAAGCAGCCTTAAGTGCAGATTATTCTCAAACAATACAGAACCATGAAAAACAAGTAATGCAAAAAATTGAAATTATTGCTTTTTTAATATATTATTTTAATTTTAATTTTTAATTTTTTTCTTCTTTTACTTCTACTTTTGATGACATTTTATTTAATCACTTTCATTTTTACTTTTATTTTTGCTTTGATTTGTCTTTATTTTATTAATTTAAATTAATTATAGGGTTGCCACAAAATTTTAATTTTAATTTAATTTAAATTTAATTTTAATTAATTAAATTTTAATTTAAGATTTTAATTTTAACGTTTTTCAAAATTCAATTATTTATAAAAATCTACGCTATAATGTTTTTAATATTCAATTATAATTTTAAATTCTAACTAAAATTAATTTTTAAATTAATTTTTATTAGAAAATTTCCAAAAATTCAATAATTTAAAAACAAACATAAATATTTTATTCAATAATTGCATATTTCTTAAAATTTAATTTTTATAAAGAATTTTATCAAAATTTTTAACCCCTTCGCTGTGAGGAGAAAAATTTATAAAGTGGGTCCAAAATGTTAAGAAATTTTTTGGCGACCAAAATTTGTGAGATTGGTTACAGTTGGGTTTTGGGGGTCGCTGATGACGAATCTGAAGTCAGATTTTCAAAATTCAAAATGGCGGATCCAAAATGGCGGACGTATTTTTTTGAATTCATCGGATTTGCTTGAAACTTGTTACTCGGGGGTTTTCGAGGTCGCTGATTCCGAATATGAAGTCAGATTTTCAAAATTCAAAATGGCGGATCCAAAATGGCGGACATATTTTTTTAATTTCTCGGATTCGATTGAAACTCGTTACTCGGGGGTTTTCGAGGTCGCTGATGACGAATCTGAAGACCATTTTTAAAAATTCAAAATAGCGGATTCTATTATATCGAACATATTTTTTTTAATTTTTCGGATTCGCTTGAAACTCGTTACTCGGTTGTTTTTGAGGTCGCTAATTACGAATATGAAGTTATAAAAATTGCAAATATCAGATTAAATATAGTGTAAAAATAATGAAAATATTATGAATGAAAAAAAATTTAATTTCACCCCCGCAGTTTGCTAGTAAATTATTTAATATTTATTTACAACCCCAGAGTGTACCACGTGGAGGTTTGCGGTAGGATTTTACACTCCTTTGTTTTAATTTTTTTTTTATTTTATTTTTTTTTATTTTTTTTTTATTTTTTTAATTTTAATTTTTTTTTTGATTTTTGTGTTTTTATTTTTATAAAAATTTAAATTAATTAAAATAATTTTTTGAACGTATAATTTATAAATGTTGTCGTAAACATTTATAGTGGTTTGATTTTCTACATATTGTACTCTTTGAAGCAGGGAGGTTTACGGTTTACACTCCTCTCAAGTACAGGGGTGTTTACTTTACACTCCTTTTAAAAATTTTTTTTTATTTTATTTTTTTTATTTTTTTTTGATTTTTGTGTTTTGATTTTTATAAAAATTTAAATTAATTAAAATCATTTTTTTAACGTATAATTTATAAATGTTGTCGTAAACATTTATAGTGGTTTAATTTTCTACGTATGGTACTCTTTGAAGCAAGGAAAAGCACACAGAGGCACATTGCATTTTTCGCAAATGATAGCTGTTTCTTTTCTAATTTTCTTCTGCCGACACACGATGCATGGTCGAAATTTTTGTCTGGCATTTTTGTAGCTACCTTTACTGATTGGAAAATGATTATCAAAATTTGTCAGTTTCTTTTGCAAAACTGGTACTTGTTTTCGTGAAATGTTTTGTGATTTACGATGTACTTTTAGCAGGTCTTCTACTATAAGAATTTTAAAATTTAAAAAGGTCACTTTAGTGTCGGAATGAAGAGCTTTGAAAATGACATAAGAATTGTACATTGCGACATTTAGCAAATAGAAATAGACTTTATGGTACCATTTTATGGTTTTTCGGGTAGTAGGATAAGCTGAAGTACTCTGATCTAATAAGTCAACTCCACCCATGTAGCTGTTATATGCCATAACAATGTTGGGTTTCATTACTGATTCTCCAGTTCTTGGATTTTTTTCCCTGTATCTATCAATTCTGGAGCATGTTTTGTAGTTAGCATAGACACAATTTTTTTATCATGCCAAGCCATTAGACAGAGTTTTGGAGTATGAAATACTTTCATATCTCCCTTTTTGATACATTTCGTGTTGAACTTTGGTAAGTATCTCCTATTCAATCTCACCGTCCCACAGACATTAGTTTTTTCATTGAGCAGTTGGTAAAATAAAGAAGGCGAAGAGTACCAATTGTCAATATACAACGTACGTCCTTGCCCACCAAGATCTAAGAGCATGTCTTTCACTACTTGTCCAGAAATTCCAATACGTTTATCAATATAAGAGTCGTTTCCTCTTTTTCCAATATACACTTTTATATTATAGGAATACCCAGTTTTTGACTCACACGTTTGGTACAATTTAATTCCGAATCTGGCTCGTTTGTTTCTATTAAATTGCTTGAAACTCAGTCGACCTTTCCATAGCAATAAGGATTCATCTATAGCAATATTTTCTCCTGGGCGGTAAGTAGCCTGAAATCTTTCCAGCAAGTACTCTAAAACAGGACGAATTTTGACCAAAGCATCATTATCATCATCGAAATCGGATTGAAAATGCAACATACTTAAAATTAATCGGAATCTATCATATGTCATGCAATTTTTAAAAGCTGGAGTCTGTAGAGTAGGAGCCGTTGTCCAGTACATCGAAAGTTCTGGTTTTTTAATTATACCCATCAAAATTACAAGGGCATGAAAGGCATACATTTCGTCAATTTCTACAGGAGAAAATTTTAATATACGAGAGTTTTTCTTCAATTTCCCTTGCTCTATAAGGTTATTTTTTTTACTCTCTGCGAAAGTGTTTGTCTGTGCGCAAATTATATCTACCAGATTTTCGTCCCAAATTGTTTTGAAAATTTCAACCGGAGAATTTCTAGAGGTTAATCCTGAAGATGGCTGTACTCCATGATTGTCGTCTTTGAAAGGATATATGACAGGATTAAATACATTTTGATCAGTCCATTTAAAATCTGATCTTAAGTTTGACTGACGTGTACTTAAAGGTACTTCAGATTCTTCACATGATTCATCTTCAAGATCATTACCATTATTTATAGTTTCATCTTCAGAACCCGATTCACTTACCAAGAAATCATCGCTCTCGTCGCTACTGCTAATATCTACCTCTGAATCTGAATCAGAAATTTTTCGTTTTTTCCACCCTCTTGACATTTCGAATTAGTACCAGAAAGGCTTTGTAAAATATAATTAGAGATAAAAAAAAATTAAAGTTGATTGATGCCGGTAACTAACACGCGTAATAAATAAACGAAAGGTAAACACATAGAAGTCGGATTAATACTTACTGTTTTTCGAATCAATTTGAGTAAATGAAATTCTATGAAGATTATAAATGTAGAAGTGTCCAAAATTTTAATAAGACGAATATACGATAATAAAACGTTTTTATTATGGAAAAGTTGATTAATGTAAAATATCAAAACAAAAGACGAGCGTTAAAAAGACTAAGATACAACAGTTACGCGTTTCTATTTGCCTAAATGATGTTCAATGAATATTGTACATATTTTACTGTCCAAAATTTATAATAGCGTGATATATTTTAATAAAAATATTTAACCTGAAAATGTAAATCGATTTAAAACATCGAAACGTAAAATAGCAAAACAAAATATTAGCCCTTGGGAGATGCAGTTACATTCCTCTCGATGTGACTTGTGCAAATTACATTCTATGAATAGAGAGTATTCAGAAATCATGTCTTTATGTCGAAAAATCTCTGCTCTTATAAATAAAGAAAAAGCGTAACGACGAGTTTCAAGCGAATCCGATAAATTGGAAAAATACGCCCGCCATATTGGATCCGCCAGTTTGAATGTTTAAAAATGGACTTCAGATTCGTTATCAGCGACCCTGAGAACCCCCGAGTAACAAGTTTCAAGCGAATACGATGGATTCAAAAAATACGTCCGCCATTTTGAATTTTGAAAATCTGACTTCAGATTCGTCATCAGCGACCTCGAAAACCCCCGAGTAACAAGTTTCAATCGAATCCGAGAAATTAAAAAAAATATGTCCGCCATATTGGATCCGCGATTTTGAATTTTTTAAATCTGAGCTTAGATTCGTTATCAGCGACCCTGAAAACCCCCGAGTAACAAGTTTCAAGCGAATACGATGAATTCAAAAAAATACGTTCGCCATTTTGGATCCGCCATTTTGAATTTTGAAAATCTGACTTCAGATTCGTCATCAGCGACCTCGAAAACCCCCGAGTAACGAGTTTCAATCGAATCCGAGAAATTAAAAAAAATATGTCCGCCATTTTGGATCCGCCATTTTGAATTTCGAAAATCTAACTTCATATTCGGAATCAGCGACCTCGAAAACCCCCGAGTAACAAGTTTCAAGCGAATTCAATGAATTAAAAAAAATTAGTCCGTCATCGAAATTCAAAATGGCGGATCCAAATCCGCCATTTTGAATTTCGAAAATTTAACTTCATATTCGTAACCAGCGACGTCGACAACATTTTGATATAATTGTGTGAGATATTATTTTGATATGATAATGTATGCTGCCTGAGATTTAATATAATAAAAGTATCATTCAAAACAGTCTACTTTTAAGCAGCCATATTGGATTTTGGTTTTCGAATTTTCAAAATTTGACTTCAGATTCGGATTCAGCGTCGAAAATACCATAAGTAACGTATGTGTGACGTCAATTTACTTGTTTTTTCTGCCTTTTATCAATTTTTTTGTATGTACGTCTATAGACGTACCTCACACTGGAAGCCCACTTTCAAATGTACGTCTATAGACGTACCCTCACAGTCAAGGGGTTAATAATAATTATTGAATTCTTTCGGCGAATTTAAAGAAAAATTCTAAAAATAAATGCAATTTTCTATCATTTAATTTAAAATTGTATAAAAAATAGATTGAAATTCTGCGATAAGTTTTGTTATTTATAAAAATAATTGAATTCTCAAGAAAAATTTTATTATTTATAAAAATAATTGATTTCTAGCGGGGAATTTTATTCAAATTTTATATTATGAAGATAATTTAAATTTTGAATTGAAACCTTTAAAGTTAATCTATTTATGAAGATTGTAAAAGAAACTTTTTTAAACTCCAATTAATTTTGAATTTTTTAAGTAAAATTATTCATTAAATAATTTATAAGTAATAATTTTATGATAGTTCTTCAAGAATTAAGTTATTTCAAAAAGAAATTATTGTCAGAAATAGAAAAAATTAAAGGTTTTGTATTAAAATTCGTAAAAATTCGTGGTAATTTCATAGTTTACCAGGCAAACAAAAAAAGGATGAAAATTCAGAGTTTTCTCATCAATTTTTAAAATTCAATTTTTTTTCCAGTACTTTTAACAAAAATCCCTGACATTTCCCTGGCTTTTCCCTAAATTCCCTGACTTGTGGCAACCCTGAATTAGCAATTTATGTCTGCCCAATTTTGTTTTCTTTTGAATAATCATCTGAATAAAGCAAATAATAATTGTAAAATATTGTTAGTAATACGGTACATTTAATTTTGAAACAGTTTTTAAATTAAACTTCAAATAATATTTCACAATGAAAATTATTTTTAATTTCAATTTGTAATTTTAAATTTCTCTGACAATTATAATTATTTAAATAATTATAGATAACCAATGAACCAAACTGCAACAACTATGTTCAAGATATATTGGACAGTGATGAAAACGATGATTTAAATTTAAATTCATTGTTTGAAGAAGATCCTGTTAATGTTTGCATTAGTGACTGGAAAAGAGAATTGAATATTTATTGTTCAGAAAAAAGGGCTGACAGCAAAACCGACATTCTAGAGTGGTGGAAAAGCCACCAAAAAACCTATCCAATTTTATCTAAAATGGCGAGGGATTATTTATCAATCCAAGCAACATCAGTGTCATCTGAGCGTTTATTCTCAAGGAGTGCTTTAACGATTACGAAACATCGAAATTGTTTGAATGATTCATCTATACGATTTTTAATGTCGCTTAATTCTTGGTCTACCTGTTCCTTAGCAACTTCAATTCAAGAGAAAATCAATGTACAATGATTATAAAACAAAAAGTTTTAATATTTTTTTCACATATGCTTATTAATTTGGCATTATCAAATAACTGTATTTTTTCAGTCAATTAAAGTTTGTATTTAATGTTGAGAATATAATGTTCTATTTTTTTGGTGCATCTAGAAGTAGAACAATAAATTATTTATATCATATATTTTTTCATGCTAATTGAAAATTATTAAAATTCTAAGTATATTAAAATTAAAAATATGAATTATTATTACTTAAAATGTTTTTACTACATCATACTTTTTATATAAATTAATGTAATCACAGAAACTTATGGAGTATTATTTTAATACCAAAATGGATTAAAATAATCTGTAAGGATTTAATCTTAACGCTGTAATCCATCGAAGGATTATTTAATCAATATGTTTTAAAAGTGATTTGATTTTAATTCAGAGGCACATTCTTTTCATGGAAAAAATTATACCATAAATTAAATTATTTAATCTTTTTCTGTGTTAATTTAAGCAGCAAAGTTCTTTAATAACTCTTATTTATTGTGTATAATTTACACATATATTGTTTTATTTTAATTTTTATAACGAGAAATAAACGAGAAAACATGAGATTCTCGTTATTATATAATCTCGCCTTTGAGACGAGAATGAGACGAGATGTTCTTATGGAAAACGAGAATGATTCTCGTTCTTATATATTTCTCGCTCGTCTCGCTCGGAATGCAACTCTACATAAAAGTATAGGTTGAAATTGCGCAAAGAATTTTCTTATTTTAGGCGATAATGGGTTAATCATTAAAATAATATTGTAATATTAGGGGAGAGTGGGGCAAACCGGCTAAGTGTCAATATCACCGAAATGGCGAAATTGTCAAAAGTGTTGTTTAGAATTTCGAAACAACCATGTGTAGTATTCCTTATTTTTAAACAAATATTTATTTTCAAAATGAGCCTATGGGGCAAACCGGACATAAGATATTTTCATTGTATCAGAGTTTCATGAAAATAATTATTAATTAGAATATTTTTTTCATTAAAATATTTACTTTCAATGAAAAATAATTGTCTTCTAATGGAAGCGTTCATGAATGATGTCACGCAATTTTTCTGGATTTTAGACCACCCCTCCCAAAAGGCACGAAATTTCATATGTAAAAATCCATTGTGTCACGTTTAGTAGAGACCCCCCTACTCCCAAAAACGTGACATCATTTGTGAACGCTCCCAATAAGAATTAGACCCTTTAATATTTTTTCCCTGATAATTTTAAACATTTTTGTTTGTTATTAAAAAAATTATTTATTTAATTAAAATCCAATCCTGTATTATTATTAACATTATTACAACCATTATTCACATGATTCTTTATGTTTGTTGTTATAGTACAAATGCAATATTATAGATAAAAAACATAACTGGTCGGTTTACCCCAGGGGGTGGGTCAAACCGGTCAGTTGGCAAAATTTTGAAAGTTAACGCAGCAACTAAACAATGAAAGATAAAGTATTGATGTCTCTGGGAAAAAGTTGCACAATTAAATGATTTTTCAAACAACACATCGAAAAATGAAATCGGTTGATTCATTTAGTCACAAGAGTAAAAAACCGTTAGTATGGCTATTTTGCCCCACTGTATATTAACACCATAGACAAGGAAATGTCATAAAAAAATTTTTTCAGGAAAATTAAGAAAATTAAAACTTTTTTCGAATTACTTTAAAAAAATTGTCACTTTTTCGTCTTTTCCTTTAAATTTCAAACATCAAAATACTACAATTTTTATTAAAAAAGTGCAAGTTATTTTGATTTTGATATAGCGAAAAATAACTATAAACAAATTATTAAAAAATTGTTTTTGAATCATTTTTTAAGACATAATTAAATTTTTGAAATATATGTGTAATAAAAATCTTTTTGAATAGTTGAAATTGTGTAAAATTTAATTAAAAAATAATTAATTTCTTTTAAGTATTTTGTTATAATTTTTGAAAATTAATTTTTAAAGAATAAAAATTCTTTAAAGGCCAATTTAAAAATGAAAATTATTAAGATTAGCTTCTAATTTTTTAAATTCAATATTTTCAGTATTTTCAATTTATATTTCCAAAAATCTAAATGCATACAAAAATAATATTTTAGA